GCGTTTTCAGGCTCCCTGGTAACTTAGAGACTCAATTCTTTGCCTTCAGGACCTCCTCCTCCTCTTCTTCCTCCTCGTCCTCCTCCTTCTCTTCTCTTTCTTGTCTTTTCTTTTTTTCCTAGCAGCTCCCAACATTGTGCCTCAAGCAGCAAGGTTAAAAAAGAACTATACCCTGGACGTCTGGGGAGTGGTGTGTGGCGTCTCCTCCTGGGGAGTACTATCACAGGTCACCTTCATACCACATTCCATCTTCCAGTTGAGGAAATGCCAGGAGAGAGGTTGAGTGACTCGCCCAAAGTAGCACAGCTGAGAAACAAACCTGGTCACTTTGGGCGGTCTCATTTAATACTTCTATTTTCTTTCACCGATTTAAGCTGTTTAATGAAGCCAGGAAGGCACCCAGGAAGAACTGGTGTTTCCCGACTCATAGTGTGGACACTTGAGGGACCTACCATATGCCTATATAGGTGGAATTTCATTTAGGGACTTTATTTGTCCTTGGTATGGCAAACCCTCCTAAGCCAGGTCATCTGTTCTCCCCAGTCTATAAAAGTTCGTTTTGCTGCCATGTCTGTCTGAACCAGGCCTGAATGAAGCTTTACCAACTGCTTCCGATGATGCCAGCTTGGAGGCAGAAGGGTCCTACTTTCTTGCCTTGCACCCCACCTGTGCCCTCCTCCCTCCCTTCCTACCTTCCCCCCTACCTCTGCCTTTAGTTGGAGTCCTATTGGGGAGACAAGGATATGAAGCAACCTTAAGCTGTTCAGGATTCAAGCACCAAGGCAACAGCGGTGCGGGCAAAAGACGCCATCCTGCCTCCAGAAGCACCAGCTGGACCCGTGGCCCCGCCCACGACCTTGCCCCACCCCTCAGAGTGAGATGGTCCCGCCCACCTCCCCCAGTAAACCAATCCCTCCCACTGTGACTGGAGTTTGTCACCTGGCCCAAGCACCTGCCTTTAATCCCAGCACTTGGGTGACAGAGGCAGGCAAATCTCTAAATTCTAGGCCAACCTTTCTACAAAGTGAGTTCCAGGACAACCAAGGTTACAAAGAGAAACCCTGTCTTGAAAAATCAAAACCCAAACCAAAACCTAAAACAAACAGTAAAACAAAAACCCTTAAAGAGTAAATACGAAAATAAGATTAATGTAAATAACTTAATTTTTTTCATTACTGGAGATCAAACCCAGGTTCTCACGCATAACAGGCAAGCACCCTATGTACCACTGCGCGTTGTTCCCAACCGGCTTACTAATATTGTTGCTTTGCACCTGAAGAGACTGTCTTAGGGGTGTGCTTGGGCAGTGTTCCTTATCTCCTGGAGACCATGCACAGATAATCTGAGCTTTACTGGCCGAGGGCACCTACAGATGGGGGCTTCCAGTGGACATCACTTTGCTATGCGGCCATTAGCACAACCCCCTGACTTGACTTCAGTATGATCCTTCTACTCCTTTTTGGCAGGAGCTGAAAAGGTCCTGAAAAGCTTTGTGTTTGTTGGGTTCTTTGTTCTAAGGGACACAGGATTAGCTGTCTTATCAAGGCGTGCCATGAACTGCTGGAATCTTTTCCCTTAATACCAGCTGGATTTTCACTGTCCTCTAGCTACTCACTGGCCTTAGACTGCCCACCCACTGTTTTCTATTGGGCTTCTCACTCTGCATACTCTTGGTCTTATATTTGTATGAATCTTGGTTGTAAGCTGCAAAAACCAATTCTAGAAACTCTAAGCAGAAATGAGTTTGTGGAAGACATTTGTTAGCCCCCGGGGCTGTGGAAGAGCAAGAGAATCATGTCTGGAAGATCTGGCATGGCAGAGACGGCTTCATGAAGACCCCATTGCCTCTGCTAGGTACAGTAAGCACAACTGACACCACAGACGTGGGACAGAGATGCCACCGCTGTTTAAAGCAGGGATTACGGGTCTGATAGGAAGCCCTGAGTCGTGTGTCCAGGTCTTGGCTTTAAGGAAGACTGGGTAAGGAAGGTAGAAAGAGGCATTTTCAGCTTCTTTCAGGAACGTAGGGTCTCTCTCAGCTTGGTTCCACATAGTGAGAAACGGACTCCTCCTGCACGTTGTTCTCTGACCTCTACACACACTCAGGGGCACTACTGTGAAGATGCACATATGCACACACACAAATAAATAAATAAATAAACGTAATTTTAAAAATCAAAAATGGAAAGAATTTCAAAATAACAAAACTTGAGGTTCTCCTAATGGGACCCCCGTTTGACTGCACAGGTTGACCACAAAGCCTGCCTCTGCACTTGAGGATGGGGTCCCACATGTTTTTGCTATCATCCCATGCCAATGGGTCAAAGGTATCCCCACTCAGAGGAGCCCCACTTCAGACCCTTGTTTGCTTACTCTACCATCAATGTGAATTTAAACACTGCTGCGAGGGACCCAGTCCCCTCTTGCACACTGCCTTCCGGGTCACAGGAGACCCTGCAGCAGAACTGAGGCCACACACACCCTCCTGATCCCATCTGTCCAGACAATGAGGGGGAATCCAGGGCCCTCAGCACCCTCCTCCCAGGCTTGTCCCAATTCTTCGCTATTGTTCCTTAGTCCATCGAGCTCAGTCAGCTCCACAGATCCCAAGGGAGCCATCTTCTCACTACTTCTGTCAGCAGTACCTGGAGGCAGCATCACCAAAACAGACACTGTAGGACCTTTCTCTGTATAGAACTTTGTTCTCTGCTTCCTTGACCCTGGCATATCCACCAGGAGCAGGCTGCAGAACTCAGAGCTCCTTTGTATTTTCTTCTTTAATTGGCAATGCTAAAGCATCTCATAACCCTTTTTTTAACAAATGTGTGTTGGGGGGTGGGTATAAAGATGGCTTAGTGGGCTAGAGAGATTCCAGCATTTCAGGAGTCCCTGCAAGCATCTTGGCAGGCAGGAAAACAAACTACAAAGAGATGAGAACGAGCCAGGTGGTGGTGGCGTACACCTTTAATCTCAACCAGGGAAGCAGAGGCAGGTTGATCTCTGAGTTTGAGGCCAGCCTGGTCTACAGAGCCAGTTCCAGGACAGCCAGGACTATACAGAGAAACCCTGTCTTGAAAAACCAGAAGGAAAAAAGGTGAAAATGAGAGAACTCAGTTCAGCCCAAATTAGTCAGTGTCAGGCTGGATCAAATTTCTAGAGAGTCTGATGCCAGGAGGTTTATGGTCCGCACATTTAAACACAATAGAATTTGGAAAAAAGTTTCCAGGAAATAACCATTCATTCCAATTCCAGGTGCACAACAAAGCTAATAATATGCATGACTGCATAGAAATACCTTTACAAAGTAAAGGCCTAGGACCATGGTTCTCAACCTTTCTTCCTAATGCTGCGATCCTTTAATACAGTTCCTCATGTTGTGGTGAACCCCCCCCCACTATAAAATTATTCCATTGCTACTGTAATTTTGCTACTGTTATGAATCATAGTGTAAATATCTGATATTCAACCCCTATGAAAAGGTTCCCCTTTTTAACAACCCAACACTTAAATGGGTCAAGACCCACAGGTTGAGAACCATTGGCCCAGGATCTGCTATGGTCTCTGACCGAGATAGTATGAAGGTTATCAGGCTACGTACAGGTAACACCTCTCTAAATATGAGATAAAGATCAAGGTCTAGGGAGGAAGAGTCTGGGATAATCATTCTCAGGGATTTGGGCAAGGTCTGGCTCTGTAGATAGCAAAACGTCATCAGGTTGTTAACGATATCCATTCCCAGCTTTCTGAGTGGAATGCAAGTATTTCATTTCCTCCATTGAGGAGATACCTCTGTGTGTTTATGTTTGGACCTCAGCATACAAATGAAAAAAGAGAGAGAGAGAGAGAGAGAGAGAGAGAAAACAGATGTGGCCAGGCCCTGCTTATAGCCCCAACTTGGATTTGGGGATAGGAAAGTTGGTGGAACTTACTGGCTGCCAGTCTAGTTCCAGGTTCAGCAGGAAACACTGTATTTTTTTTTTTTTTTTTTTGAGACAGGGTTTCTCTATGTAGCCCTGGCTGTCCTGGAACTCACTTTTTAGACAAGGCTGGCCTTGAACTCACAGAGATCCACCTGCCTCTGCTTCCCAGTACCACCTCGGTGGAGAAACACTGTCTTAAAGGCATAAGGCAGAGTGATATAGAGTAGGACTCCAGACATCCTCTTTTGACTTCTGGGTGCATTCTCTCTGTCTCTGTCTCTATTTCTCTATTTCTCTATTTCTCTATTTCTCTATTTCTCTCTCTCTCTCTCTCTCTCTCTCTCTCTCTCTCTCTCTCTCTCTCTCTCTTAGATACACACACACACTGTGAGTCAAGAGGTTATTTTGAATTTAAAGCATTTTTCTTGGTATGGTGGTCAGTGCCTGTGGCTTTCTGGTGGTTGGCTAAGGTGAGAGGGTCATGAATTAGAGGCTAGCCTGGCCTATTAGAGGCTAGCCTGGTCTATTAGGTAGAGCAGGAGATGAGGGGCCCAGAAGTTAAAACGTCCACAATCAGCATTCCCTACTATTGAACTATGGGGCTTGATTACATATAGGCCAAAGGAGCCCCACTCTTAGGTGATTGGAAAACTCAGTAATGCTCATGAAACATTATTAAAGTAAGTTAAACAGATCTGTAGTCCAGGCTGACCTTAAACTTTCCGTTCCCCTTGTCCTGCCTTCAGAATGTGCAGGCATATGCCTCCTTTAAGTTAAAAAAATAAAAAAGCTGTCTGAAATCTGGGAGGTTTTGTGTGATGACAAAAATCTTGTGAACTTAGGATTTAAAGAAAAAAAAAAGTTTCTTTTTCAGGCCAGCAGGATGGCTCAGGGGGTAAATGTTCTTGCTGTTAATCTTGACGAGCTGAATTTCATCCTTGTGACTCCGGCAAGTTGTCCCGCCCCATATGCACTCTGTGCTATGTGACTCGCCCCCAATAATAACACATAAGTTTCTAAAAGTTCCTTTTGCTTCTGGCTCCCAGCAACTCTGGCTTTGCGGCTTAGCACTGAAGCAGGTGTTGGCCACGGGTGTGGGCGCGGCAGGCTAGTGCAAGGGTGGCCTGCACAGGCACTTTCTATCCTGGGCTGAAGTGTTCTTAACCAGACCCAGCATTGGGTGCCTCCTCAGAGGACACAAGGACCACGGACATTCTTCCTCCTGTCTTTTGATGGTAACACCCTAAAATCCAGGCCTGGGCAACGAGGTTGATATGACTGTGGGTTTGGGTGTGAAGGAAACAGTGCAACCTTTCCAGGCCTAGCATATTTTTATTTTGAAAGATGCAAAAGGAACCCTTTGTCTCTTTGCCTTAGGTGACTTCCAGGACGACTCTGGCACTTGAGCACAGCCGTATGTAGGACTATGCTAGTTGCTGGGGTTTGTCCGAGGCCAGGCTGCCATGATGTGCGCGTGACCCCTCCTCCTACAGTCCTTTTCTCACCCCCTGCACCTTCGCTCCACTCTCTTCTCATCCCCAGATTGAACATGGCTGGAGAGCCCAGGTCTGGCTTTGCCCATCCAGGCCCTAAGAGGCCACAGGACGCGACCATCTTCCGGTGAGTCCACCCTGTCAGCAGGGGGGCTGGTTGTCCATTTGTTTGAGTTCCCCCGAGATGGACAGGGTAGTCTAAAAAGTTCCCTAAGTGTGCTGCCCACCCAGCTCCGGCTGCTCGACTCTGCAACTTATTCTTGAGCCTCGGGTTTTGTCTGTTACTGAAGGACCCGATCCACTGCATTCTTCCCTGTCAAGTCTACATAACCTGAATCCTCCAGCCTGGAGTCAGGCAGTCCTCCAAGGAGGACCCCTCCTGTGGGGACTCAGAAACTTTTCCCCTAAATATAGACGTCTGGGAACATCTGTCATCTGAACGATAACTTGTCCTTACCTTGATATGCCTAACGTAACGTTTAGGAAAACTTACTTTTTGTTGTTGCTTTAGAATTTAAAAATTATATTTGTTGATTTGCATGTGTGTGTTCGTGTGTGTGTGTGTGTGTGTGTGTGTCTGTGCGCGCGTGCGCGCGTGCACATGTCTGTGTCCATGCGCATGTTTCATGGCTCCAGTGTGGAAGTCAGAGGACAACTTCAACTTGCAGGAGTTGGTTCCTTTCATCTATTAAATGGGTGCCAGGGAATGAAACTCAGCTGTCAGTGTTGGTGACACGCACCTTTCCCCACTGGGTCATTCACCCATCCAGTTGTTTCATTTGGTATACGTTTATCTGTATTTTTATTTAATTTATTTATTTTGTTTATTTGAGATAGGGTTTCTTTGTGTAGCTCTGGCTCTCCTGAAACTCACTCTGTAGACCAGGCTGACCTCAAACTCAGAGATCCACCCAATTCTGCTTCCTGAGTGTTGGGGTGCGCTATCACCGTGAGTTATTTTATTTAACACACTATTTTTATTCCTTGGTTTCATACCTTTAGACAATGCATACTGACTATATCCATCCACCACTAACTCCCTTCAGCTTCCCCTAGTGCCCATCCCATCTCTCCCTTCCTCTTACTTATTTAATTTTTAGACAGGATCTCCCTTTTCAGCCGGGGCTGGCCTCAAGCTCACAGAGCTCCTCCTGCCTCTGTCTCTCAAGTGCTGGGATTAAGATCTGTGTACACCCTGCCTGGAGGTAATGAGTAGAGCAAGAATTACCTCCATAATCCAAAAATCCATTTACTATATAATCATTGGATAGAGGACATATCAGATATTAAAATAATAAGAACAGGCTGGGCATAGTGGTTCTAGCCTTTAATCCCAGCACTTGGGAGGTAAAGGCAGGTGGTTCTGTTGGACTCTGGCGTCCAAACACCGAGAAGGAGTCGCCCCCAGAGACCACACACCACAGCCAATGCAAAAGCATGAGGATTTTATTAATTCTGTCATGACAGGGTCCCCCAGCATTCGGGAATCCGAGGGACCTCGAATAGCGGGTACAGTCTACTTTTAAAGGGGCCACAGAAGCAAGGGGGGTTGTTCTTTGACTATTCTGATTGGCTTATTTGAAAGGGCTATTACCAATAATTGACTGGAGAGCTGTTGCCAGATCAGATGAGGTAAGAGGTCATTTTGACCCCGTTTCCCAGGGGACCGAACCAAAGCATATGTATATGGGTAATTGTTCAGTTCAGGAACTGAGTACGTGCGAGTGTAGCTGTTAGGTCCTTGGTTCCCAGGGGAGGAGGGGAAGCACTATGGCACAGAGGCTGAGAGGATTCAGAATTGTCAAAAATGGCTTCAGGATTGTCTTAAAGTCTTACAGTTCTCTGAGTTTGAGGCCAGCCAGAGCTACATAAAAAGACTCGGTCTGATATTTGGTGCAGTGTTTGATGTTTACAACAAAATGTTACAATAATAAACTAACATAAAAAAAGACTCGGTCTGGAACAAAACAAAACAAATAAAAAATAAGAAGAACAGATGGTGAGATGATTCAGTGGATACAGGTGCTTGCTACCAAGACTGACAACTTGAGTTCGATTCCTGGGACCAAGGACACTAGGCTTCTTTGCTAGAAGGCTCAGAAGCCATCAATTATGCTTCTTTATTTTTATTTTTTATTTTTTTAACCTGGCCATTTTGAGGATACTGGGGTCCTGTACAGTTGGTCAGTTCTTAACACTTTCGTCATTAAATTCCATTGTTTTTCACTCCGACTTCTGGCCTACGAAGCTTGGATCCAATTCTGTTAGCCAGTCAACAGGGACTCAGGCTCTGTTCAGCAGAAGGGCTTCTGGGTATTCAAGATGGTGTGGGGAAAGGAGTGTTTGTTCCTGCTCCAATGCTCCCAAGCGGAGCCCAGGATTGTTTTTTGCTGCCTATAGAGCCTCCTCTCCCTCCCTCTCCCTCCCCCCGAAAGAAAAAAAAAAAAAAAGAGGCCAGGCCGGGGTCGCAGCACTAAACCCTGCAAGACCCATGTTTGGACGAGGTAGTCTCTCTCACTCTTCAAAAGAAAAAGCTAGTCGTGCATTGGCCGGGAATCGAACCCGGGCCTCCCGCGTGGCAGGCGAGAATTCTACCACTGAACCACCAATGCCGCGTTGTAGGGAGACGTCCTACTGGTTGTGATGTTTAGGTGCTGCCATGTTTAGCCGGCGGACCATCGATGTTTCGGAAGTTCATTATGTGGAGCCCTGGATACAACCAACGCTCCTCTAATCAGACGCACATCGCTAAGGAGGTCTGCACGTCTTTTCCTATGCCAGCTCGCTCTTTCTTTCTCCTGCCGGCCGGAATTCGAAGCAGCCCTGCATGTCCTCTACCGCCCACCCAGACCTCCAGAAGCCAGGAAGCAGAGGTGGCTGGAAATCTCATCACAGTTCTGGGGACCCCGCAGGCTGAAAGGACAGACCCGCAACTGTCCTTGGTTTGGAGCTCGGAGTCTGCCTTTGAGCGGGGCACGAAGGCGACGTCATCCGGAGGGCTAAGTGTCGTAACTTTAGACCCCCTTCCAACTGAGCACGCTCACCAGCCTCATCTCGGCAGGACCCAGTGCTTTCTGTGTTCGCACCAGCCCTTCACGTACCGGAACTCACTTTATCTTTATCTCTCCGTGTGAAGAGGGGGTGAGACTGCCCCTATGAGCCTGGTATCTTTTGGAGCTCGCCTTTTTCCATGGCCTGCAGCCAAGGTCAGGTGGCTGGGCGGTAGCCTTAACCTTTCCTGCTGGCCCCCAGTATGCTGACATACTCACATGCCAGGACTAAAATCTCCAGACCCACACTGAGATCTTGGGCTTAACTTTTCCCTTTCATCCTATGCCGGACTAAGATCCCAAAGATCAGCAGTCCCTGGCTCAGGCAGAAGAGCCTTTGGAGGGCCAGGCTCTAGATGGACAGCCAGGTGCAGGCGATTGCCCCCTACTGCCCCCTGCGGAGGGGGGCGCGGGGGGGGGGATAGCAGAGCCCAGTTAGAGAGAAGCTGGTTTGTTGTGGTCTCTAACAAAATGACTTTGGGCAAGACCCTAAGGTGTCTTCTGGTGAAGAATCCTAATTTTCAAAGGAAGACCTGCAAGTGGGGGACAGGATGGTCAGTTCAAGGTCAGCCTCAGCTACAAACAAGGCTGTGTAAGACTGATGGAAGGAGGGAAGGAAGGAAGGAAGGAAGGAAGGAAGGAAGGAAGGAAGGAAGGAAACGAAACTATACAAAGTTTTTGAGATGCAAAGGAATAAACACAGGCCCCAACCGACAGGCAAATCTAAATATACAAGGTCAATCTGTAAGAGTAAAGGGGGACACATTTAAAGGTTTTAGCATTAATAATACTTGAGAAAGCATTTAGTATTTCCAACAATTAAATATTATCAAAGTAAAAATTCGGATCAATCACAGAATGTTTAGTATGAACAACAGTCAACAGTGACTATTAAGTATGGAATATGTAGTTTCCAAAAACAATGGAAAGAGAACATCAGGACAAGCCTGTTACTTTTTAGTAAGATAAAAACATACATACACTTGCTACTTGACCTTGTAGTAAAGGTCACAAGTACCCCCAAACTTGTCTACTTATGTAATACGGTGAAATAAAAATGGAAAGGGGCCAGCTTCTGCAGACAAGTCTGGCTTAACCACACGTAAAGTGAGCAATCAGAAAGCCTGGTTCCATCCTCATGCTAATCTCCCAAAGAACCAAGGGCCCTAGCCAGGGGCAGCGAAAAAGCCTACTAGTTTAGAGTGTGGTAGTTGGCAGTTACAAGAAAAAACAAACAAAATAACAGTGTTGGGGATGGGGTGGTTCATAGCTAGATATCTGAAGAAGTTACAATGTTGTGGGCAATGTTTTCCCTGAGACAGGGTCACACAACACCCACTCCACCTACACCTCAGTCTGTAGCCTGCTGGCTTTAACTCCCCGATTCTTCTGCCTCCATTTCCCAAGTGCTGGGATGACAGGTGCGCACAACCATGCCCAGCTAGCAGCCTGTCTTCTCTACCTACCAAATCTCTTTAAAACAGAATCCTGGTCTGGGCAGTGGTGGTGCAGGCCTTTGATCCCAGCACTTGGCCTGGTCTACAGAGTGAGTTCCTACACAGAGAAAGCCTGCCGCAAAAAGAAAGGAAGGAAGGAAGGAAGGAGGGAGGGAGGGAGGGAGGGAGGGAGGGAGGGAGGGAGGGAGAGGGAGGAAGGAAGGAAGGAAAGGAGGGAGAGAGGGAGGGAGGGAGGGCATTCTTGCTCTCCCAAGTTGATCTGAGGGCCAGGCAGACTGGTTTCCCCTCCTCATTTGTAACCACAGTCAGAGGTGACTATGGATTGAATACTGTGAGTCAGATAAGTCACACTCAACTAGTTAGTGGGTAGGTGGGTCTTGTCAGCGGTGTTCTGGGAAAGGAGGGTGGTGGAACAGGTTGACTTCACTGCTTTTTCCTCTCCTGTCTCTTCAGGGTGGATAAAAGCAAGGAGACCCCTCTACTCATCAACCAGGTGCCTGCCAAGAGCCTCAGAACCCACCTAAGTCCGAGGGTCAAGAACACCTACAGCCCTTACAAAGCCTGCAGGGATAGCCGTCTGCCCCTGGGGCAGAGAAAGTGTGAGTGAGGGGCCCTGGCCTCAAGGTCAGTGATAGGGAGGAGTGGAGTGGCCTGGACTGTAGTGAGGGAAGGCTGGCCATCTGTATTTGCTTTCTGTTCGTGTGGACATCAACCCTGCCCCCTCTCTTTTTTTTTTTAATATTTATTTATTTGTTATGTATACAATAGTCTATCTGTGTGTATGGCTGCAGGCCAGAAGAGGGCACCAGACCTTATAATAGATGGTTGTGAGCCACCATGTGATTGCTGGGACCTGCCCCCTCTCTTGGCAGCCCAGACTGAGGAGCTGGATTCCATCAGGAGGGAGCTGAGCAAGATCAAAGCCCAGGTGGACAGCCTGTTGAAGAGTCTGGAGTCCATGGAGGAGCAGAGGGCTCAGCACACAGGTCAGGTACTCAAGAGGGTGCCCAGGCCACTCTCTCAGTGGGTCCCAGTTTTTCCTGTTCACTGGGGGTTCTATCTGTGTCTTTCTCTCACTGTTGTTATGGTCATTTTGGCTCTTTTATTCTTCTGGCTTTTTGAGGGGCCCACCACCCAGCTCCCAAATAAATCACACATGAAGGCTTATTCTTAGTTATGAACGCCCAGCCTAAGCTTGGCTTGTTTCTTGCCAGTTTTTCTTAAATTACCCCAACTACCTTTATGCCTCTGGGCTTTTATCTTTCTTACTTCTGTATATCTTTCCCTCTCATTCCACGGCTAGTTGGGTGGCTATCTTCCTCTGGTTCTCTCGCTCCTTTGTTTCTCTCTTCATTCTCTCTGCCTGCCAGCCCTGCCTATCCTTGCTCCTGGTCATTCAGCTTTTTATTAGGACCATCAGGTGTTTTAGACAGGCAAAGAATCGCAGCTTCACAGAGTTAAACAAATGCAGCGTAAACAAAAGTAACACACCTTAAAATCATATTGCCCAACACACGATAGGCCTCTTTTGCCAGTATTGACTCTGGCTGTTCCATGCCAGCGGGACCTCTTTGACATCTGTGTTGTCTGGAGTCAGCTGGGACTTCCAATCTGACAGTTCTCAGAACAGGACCAAAAGGGAATGGGAACAGGTGTCCTGGAAGCAGGGCTCCTCACGCACAAACGCCGAGTCCAGCAGGTGACCAGAGGGCACAGGGCTACCAGGAGGCTGCTCAGGGGAAAGCTCAGACAGGAGGCAACAGTGAGTGGTCTGCTCTCCTTCACCCCACTTGTTTGGGTTCTTGTGGTCACTCTGTGAGCAAAGGCAGTGCACTCTGGTTTGTGTAGGAACCGGTAGTCGTAGGGTCCAGACAGGCTTACGACCTCTATCCAAGAGCAATGCCTAGGACAGCCACGTTCTGCCGGCCACCACCCCTTGCTTTTTGACTTGGGGTTTGATTAGCCCAGATATATCAGGGGCTACGGCCAGGCATTTAGACACTTAAGTTAGTCAGTCCTACGTTGAAATATCATCTTCTGGAAAGGAAGCTGAGCTTTGTAGATTCTAAAGATGTTTCATATCTCAAGCCCCCCTCATAAGCGTGTTACAATTTGAATTTCTGCCACTTTTCTGGCCATTGGTTGCCTCTGGCTCTTGGGGTTGCACTGTACCATGCTGTCCAGGGCGGCCATGTCATGCTAATGTTCCTAGATTGAGACAATCCAAATCTGAACTGGTAACAAACGGCCCTTTGTGTAGCAGTAAAGAGCCTAAGTTTTCTCTGCCCTCCCATATCTTCCTGTCCATTCATGCCCCACACTGCTTCCCAAGTCTGCTCAGCAAGAGCAGGGTTGGTAGTGGTGAATTCCCTCATGACCCCCGGCCTAACCCAGGCTGGATGGGCTCAGAAGAGTGCTTGCTGCTGCCTAGGGCCTAAGTCACAACTGCCCCGGAAAAAGAATGGGCTACAGGAGAGTGTTTGCTCTGCCTGCTGGTTCTGGGTTTCCAGGCTTTAGTGGTAGCGGTATGCTTAGCATGGACAATCAATCTCCAGTACCTCTTCCATCCCCACAAAGAATCTAGGCTAAGGTCCCAGGACATAGGGGTAGGAGGGGAGTTGGGGGTACTAGATTTTAGCTGCTCCTTCCTAAACTCTACCTCCCACCCTCTAAGCCAGCCCCTCCTATTAATTCCACAGGTGAAGATTCAAGCATCGGACCAGGATAGCCAGGAGGTGGGGACCCTTCCAGGCTCCACTGTTACTTCTTGGGTAGCTTGTTTCCTTGCCTTGTTTTTGGAAGTCCCTGGTCACACCCATGCAACCTGAAGTAACCTTTCTGGAGCTAGGGCAATGCAAGTAGAAGCATGGTTCGGCCAGTCTACCCAGGAAACCTCCTGGTAGTTGTGGGCTTAACTTTGAGGTCTTTTCCATGTGTCCAGGGTGGGCGGGGTGTCCTCACAACTAGCAGCATCTCACCATCCTCACTGAATTATGGCCTTGCAGGAGGCACCTGACAGGGCCCTGAGCCCCCACTGAATGCAGACTGCCTCTGGTTTCCTCCTTCCCCATGCACCACTAAACCTGGTGGTGTGGCACACTTTTCTGCAGCCACAGGAGTGAAACTGTGAGGTTGTGTATGTGCCCCTCTAACCAGCCCCTTTTGGTTAAACTCACCACCATGTACCCTACAAAGCCATCCTTTAAAATAGGTAGATAACTTTTTGTTTGTTTTTCGAGACAGGGTTTCTCTGTAGCTTTGGAGCCTGTCCTGGAACTAGCTTTTGTAGACCAGGCTGGTCTCAAACTCAGAGATCCGCCTGCCTCTGCCTCCCGAGTGCTGGGATTAAAGGCGTGCGCCACTACCTCCCGGCTTGGTAGATAACTTTTATGTCTTGTTTTTTATATTGATTTTCACTAGTATAACACTAACTTCAGATCTACTGTAGAGTCATGTCAAAAAGGAAAAAAATAAAAGTGTATTTCTTCCTCCTGGTCAAGGGTTCTTCCATGATCCACACAAGCAGATGAGCAGACCCCTGGGATACCTAAACTGAATAGCAGTTTCACACAGCTTCCAAGATCAGGAACCCTGCACTCCTAGCCAGTGAGGCCAGCTCTGCCTTAAGGAATAGCCAAGCTCTAAGTGGTGCCAGTATTTAGGAGTTCTTCCCCTTGGTAGGTCATTGTTACCCTGATCCAAAACTGAACGGGAGACACCAGGTAATGAAGCTAGCCCAGGACTCCACTTCTGTTATTTTTGTTTGCAACAAAAACTGTTTCTCTCTGGCTGTCCTAGAACTCAGAGATCCACCTGCCTCAGCCTCCCCAGTGCTGGGTTTAAAGGTCTGTGCCATCACAGCGGGCAGGGCCCTACTTCTGCAAAGCTATGGGAGCCTCCGGTCCTGCTATTCTACTGGCCAAAGGGGGGACCAGGGCTTCCTTCCAGAGCATAGTCCTTCCCAGCTCCCCAACTCCCTAGACATGCACCTGTGCTTTGGCAAACCAAAGGAGAGGGAGGATAGGTGTGCACCCAGCCTTCCGAGGCCATTTAACTCTCCCGTCCTTTTGTCAAGACAGGGTTTCTGTGTAGCCCCGGCTGTCCCGGCATCTCCTCGCTTCAGATACTGCTCCTGGGGCAGGCGGTTTCTCCACTAAAGCACACTACTCCTTCTTTCTTACTTACGGTGAGCTAGCAGAAGGGAAAATTATAGGCAGTACTGATTCAAGCCATAACAACACAGACTCAACACAGGCCCAGTTCAAAACAGCATTATTGCTAACTCTAGTACCAAGAAAAACAATCACAAGATGTATCTTCAGATATAAAAAAGTTTTTATGTTTAGTTCGGATAGTGAGAAGTCCCCTTGTTCATCCTCTCAAAAGATGTTTATCATAGACTGGAGCCAACGGCTGATCTGTACAGGGTCCATCCCTTGGAGGACCACACACCCAGTCTCATTTACCAGGTAATCCAGTTTAAGTCGTTTCCAATTTGGGAGTAAGGCTTTCATGTTTTTTTTTTTTTTTTCCCCAACTGGATAGTGGCCGCAAAGGCCCTTTAAACCGTTCCAACGCAGCTGTCCAGTGCTTCAGTTCTGTGCACGCTACCTCCGCTCTCATTTCTCTGCTCAGCCAAGCCAGGCGACCAAGAGCGCCGGAAGAGAAGGGCGACAGCAGTTGTCCGCATTCTTGTTGCTCAGGTATTCCAATCAGGACGGGGAGGCGGCGCTCCTCCGGCGGGCAGCCCGCACCAAGCACTGCTGCAGCACTGGATAGAGGCGCTGGCAGCCTTCTAGGCCCAGGCGCACCGCGTCCGTCCAACTCTCAGTCTGGCCGCCTTCCCCGCTGCCCAGCAACCCGGCCACCTGGTTGAGCACCGGCATGAGCGCCACCGTGAGGCCGGCGGCAGAGTGCTCCTCCTCGAGGCGCGTGGGGTCCAGCAGCCAAGTGGGCGAGGGTCCCGGCGTGAGGCTCAGGCCGCAGCCCACCACCAGATCGTACATCTCCACTCCCGCGTCGGCCAGGGCGAGCGCGGCGGCCGTGAGCGCCGCGGCCAGGGCAGAGCCGCCGTCCTCCAGCAGCAGCGCGGACACCTCGAGCTGGGCGCGAGGGTAGCGCCCCAGGCGCACCGCGGGCTCCAGAGCCTCCTGCAGCGCCAGACCCAGCTCGCGCTCCTCGCCGCCGCCCTGGGGCGCACGACGCCGGCGACCGGAGAAGGGCGCGCGGCGGAAGTCACAGAGCAGGCGGCCACGGAGGGCGGCCGGGGCCTCGCCGCCCGCTCCCGCTGGGCCACCGCCGCGCTCGCCGCCCTCGGCCTGGCGCGGGCCCGACACGGCGCACAGCACCTTGGTGCCTCCCGCCTCCAGGTAGGCCGAGCCCTTGGCCTGGCTCAGCAGCCCGGCGCGCGCGTACACCGGTCGTAGCCGCGTCGGGTCGCGGGCAGCGGGCGTCTCGTCTTCGTCGGCCGCGTACAGCTGTGGCGGCTGGGACTCCTCCGGTCCGCGGATGCGGCGGTGGTCTCCCGGCATGGCGACTACCGGCGCACGAGCCACTTCCGCCGGCCGGGCCACCTTGCGCACCGGTTCTTCCGCCTACTTAAACATGCGCGCCGGCGCGAAGCCTATCGGGAGAGCTCCTGTGGCCGCACCGCCACTTAGCGGCGTGGAGGATGTACAGCTGGACTCGACCCGCGCTGGGACCTGGGCTGGGCTTGGCTTTCATGGATCTAACCTGTTAAGGCTATTCCTTGAATTTTGCTTTCAGAATGCTTTACATAAACTTGCCCAAGTTAGGGACTTTTTGTTCACTCCTGTACTCAGTTCCCCGGCTGGCTTCAACACTTGTTTAATAAATCGATGGAACGAACTCTCCCAACACTGGATATATAGATACATGTATAAAATACATAAATGTATTAATGCATATAAAGATATCTAGATATCTAGATAGATAATATATGAATATATACACACATATGTGTTTATATATACATATATAATATTTCTAACACTGAGGAACTGCATAAGTAGGCAGTATCTACTACTGCTTCTAGACCCTGCTGTTTATAGACTCAAATTGCATTTTAGGGCCAGGCCAGGGCCTTGAACCTAATTAGGTAAGAAGCAGGGACAGGACAGTTATTGAGAAACCCCTCCATGCTTATATTTCCTGTATTAGTTGTCTGACCTCATATCAGCATCTTCAAAGGGAAGCAGAGAAGGGACATACATGGCCCAAGGCAGAGATTATCCCAAGAGACTGAGAAAGGTGCTTCTCCACTTAAGTAATTCAGTGGAAAATTTCCCCTCAATTTCAGCCCATCCATTCATTTTGCCTCTGGCTCTGCTATCCTAGGGGCCACCCCTGAAGCTCAGGGGTCTAGGAATGTATTCTGTGAGAACTCAATCCGGAACAAGCTGGAACCGCAGCCTGCATTCTGCAGATACACAGGGAGCTAGGGTCCACCTCAGGAGAGAAAGTAGAATGCCTGCATCAAGTATTGCACATGGTCCTTTTTATTTTCTGCAGCAAAAAGGCTTCCTGCCTGCAGACCTGGAAGCCTCAGGTAGTCAGGCTCTAGACATGATCGTGACGATGTTAAATAGCATTCCTGGGGTAGTGATTCTACATAGATGGTGCCGACATTTATGGCTCAGAGCAATAACGGAAAGGGGCGATGAATCACGGGACAGTTCCAGGTATGTTCCAGTTACTGCTGGATTAGGTCGGATGGGAGACTAAAAGGTCCCCAAACTCAAAAGTCTTCGTGGCAGGAGGGCTTCTGGGTGGACTCCGCATTCTGACACATCTGGTTGCCGGGGAAACGCTTCCGGGTGAGGGCGTCCCTCCCATCAGTTCTTCACATCTCCCAGGCGGAGCTGGGCAAAGGAAGTGGCCAGCTGCAATGCTTCCTGAAGGCAGCCCACGTTTTTGCCTGTGGCCTGGGCAGACATATCCTTGCCACCACCTTTACCATCCATCAGGACTGAGACCTGCTGTACCCACTCGCTGGCTTTTAGGCCCCGGTTGGCTGCATTCTAGAAGACAGGAAGGGGAAATGGTAGTCAGAATAGGAGATGGGATTGAGGTGGGGAAGAGAGGAACAGCACAAGGAGGGGAGCCACCAACACCCATTCGTATTGAGGCTACCAGAGGCCTAGACTGCTCTACAGGGGAGCAGCTATGGCCACTGTCAAGGTGAACAAAAAGCAATGCCAGGCGTTAGTCAGTAGTTACTACATCTACCAACAAGAAGGTCTGGAGTAAAAAGTACTGAAGGAAATGACAAATGGAAGAATAAGATCAGTAGTTTCTCATTAGGGGTGCGTGCGAGGACGCATGTCCACAAGTGCGTGTGCGCGCGCGCGCGCGCGCGCGCCCACACACACACACACACACACACACAGTCTTGGCAAATATGATGAAGAGCCCCTCTCTGACTTAGCTTCAGACAGTGCTTCCCTCTGCCTCCTGAGTGCTGGGACTAAAGGCATGCACCATCACTGCGTGGCTGCAGGTTTTTAAAGTGAGGCCATAAGAAGTTCTGACCTGGGGAACCTGGCACAAGCACGTGATCTTGCCAGCCTCGTTGTCCACTGTGAACAGCATTGCAGATGTCTGAGGAGAGTGCGTCTTGAAAAGCTTCAAAGCTTCATTCAGGGCCTGTGGGGGAGAACTTCCTGTCAGGTCATGGCACCGGGACAGGAAGCCCTACTTTATGGGAGTCTGTGGAACACAGCCCTCAGAGCAACACCCCATTTCCTCTGAAGAGCACATGCTGTCCCTAGGAGCCCACGCAGACCAAAGGCAGGACCCTGCCCAAACTCTCCCCTAGGGAGCTCCTCCTTCCTCAGGCTACCAGATCTTTCCATGGCTCTGCCTAACTTCAGTACTAAGCAGTGGGCCTCAGAGACACCAGTGGTCTGACAAGGCTGGGAGGGAAAACACGAACAGCTGACGGGTAGGGCAGCCCTGGCCCTAGACCCTGCTTGCCTTGGCTGAGGCCCCGCTCTCCATCTCCAGGATGACCAGGGGCTGGTTGGGGTTGCTGTCAATCAGCTGCTTTGTCTTCTCTAACACCTACAAGACCAGGAGAGAGGCTTAGGCCAAGAGCCCAGACCGGAAACCACGTGAGCTCTGCTCAGGAAAACCTTTGGGCTCTCTTCCAGCTGCCAACACTGCCAAACTTACTCGCTTCTGGACATCGGCTTTGCTGGCACGGTCTAGGTCATCCATGACCTTCTTCAGGGACTTCAAAGTCTCTCGTTGTTCATCTTTCTGCCACTGGGGCATGACTGCAGTAGCCAAGGCCTGGAACCACAACACAAGTCTGTCCAGGTCTGGGCTACTAAGAAGTAGGGAGAAATTCCAGCCCATTCTACCCCACCCTCCTGTCTTTGAACTAAAGTTTTTCTTGGCCAGTGTCTGAGAAAACAGAGAACCACAAAGATTTCTGTTGACTTTAAGACTCGTCCCTCTAGCCAGGCAGTGGTGGCACACGCCTTTAAAATCTCAGTACTCAGAGGCAGAGGCAGGTGGATCTCTGTGAGTTCGAGGCCAGCCTGGTCTAGAGAACGAGTTCCAAGGCTCCAAAGCCACAGAGAAACCCTGTCTCAAAAAACAAAAGCAACAACAAAACACTAGTCACTCTATCATTTTAGTAGTCATCACAGCGGGGCTGGAGAGAGAGTGGCATTACAAGGAGGGCTGAGTTCTCAAGTTGAGCCCTGGCCCTTACCAGGCTATAAACATAGCCTGCAGAGACCAGAAATAGGAGCCACTGTCTACAAACAGTTCAAGGGCAGTGGTGACATCCTTTCTCAAACAACAACACAAACCCCAACACCCCACTTCCCCCACCCAGCATGTGGCTCATGTTTGCAGAGATGATAAGGCCAAAGGACAGCTGCAAATCTAAGGGTAGCCTGAGCTATACAGTGTGTATGAGGCTAGTCTGGGCTACAAAGACCCTGGCTCAAAAAAGTACAAGTGAAAGAAGAGAAAGCTCAAGCACAGGGATGGACTTACTCTTCAGGCCTGATAAGGAATGAACAGACCCTGAGCCGAGGGCACCCATCCCTACCTCACCAAGGTCGGCAATCTCCCTCTGCACGTCCTTGTTGGGTGCAGTCTGGGCCTTCACTTTGGCTTCCAAGTCAGAGAGAGATTTCTTCAAGCTCTCGGC